CCCTAATCCTAAAATTTAATTAACATTTATTTTTAATGTGGGCTTGTTTTTCATTTGTGATATAAAAGAGTTATTTGTATCATATTCCATTGGCTGCTCGTTCTCCACGCATATTTTTGGGAGTAGATATTCAAATAAGGGTAAAGGGTAGCAATTCATCATAACCAGAATTCTATTGAAAATCAGTTCATACGTAGCTGAAGAGTATTGCCGCTATGGAAGAGTTTCTAATTTATATCTCACTCCAGGACAGTAGGCAGTAATACAAACAGGCAGCGCTTGCAGCTGAGATGTAGTTACACGACCTTATTACGGTCCATGGGGAAACCGACCTCACTATGACCACTAGCTCTCTGCTGCTAAAATCATCGCTTTATGCCCGACCTTCCCTTTAGCAAGAGTTTCATAATATTAACAGGACAGTCTACCACTAACTGCTCCTAATTATGGCTACTTCCCACCCTTTTAAACGTTAGAAAGATTAAATCCACCCCTTAGTTTTTTTTTGTGGTACAGTAAAAAATTCAGAGGTAATGAATTGATGCGTTTAGAACATTAGTAGTCTGGTATGCACAGTTTTAGATACATAAAAATATATCCTAAAGTAACACTCGACTCAAAGTAACCAAGGGCTCGAAAAATCATGCCAAAGCAAAGGTTTATTCGCCTACCAAAACTCTTTGGAAAAATGAAATATTATCTTTGTTATCTTCTCTTATGACACTGCTTTTTCCTGGTACTTTTCTTCTTAAACCACTGGTGAACCTTACCGCTCGGGCTTCGAGGCGATATTCCCAGAACAGCTGTTTTTGTATAGTCTCTTGAATCCTTCCCTGATATTGCTTCCAAATATTTTTTGTTCTTTAGTTACAATTCCTATGGCAGCAATGACTACCGGTATATTATTATTATATAAAATAAATAAACTGAACAAATTATTGAAGAATGCCGTCTTCTGGGATGTGTCGCCGTGTAGATATTGTGTTAACCGACGTTTCGGAGGAAAGTATCGCCTCAATCTTCAGGGTATAAGAAATCCGCGAGCAGAGAACTAGCTTGAGCAGGCGGTTGCAAGCCACGTTTGTTCCTCGCTCGCAGATTTACTATAACCTGAAGGTGGAGGCGATACGTTCCTCCGAAACGTAAATTAACACAATATACACGGCGCCACATCCCAGAAGACGGCATTCTTCATAGTCACTGCCGTGAAAACCTCGAATCTTACATGAACTAATTATTGTTACATACTTTACATGTTAATACTTTAAAAGCCCTAATTTTAATGCAGCGTGTAGTGTAAATCATCATATAGAAATATCGATAGTACACTAACTACATGCTATGCAATAAATAGTACTTGCATATCGTAACAGTACTGCAGATAAGCATCATTGTCCCCTGGGACGTCAATATATATTTGGTTCGTTCTCTGATACAGAAGAACACCTGACTCCAGACCCCAGAGGCGTTGCGATTTTTCAGTTTTCTGCTGTTTCGTCATATTGCGTTTCAGTCCGAACAGATATTTCCCATGAGTGGTCGCTCCAGACTGTAAGGACTAGCGACTTCTTGTCAGGATTAGATTGCAAGACTGACTCAAGTGACTAGCTCTGTCTCTCGTTACGATACTATGTTCTAGATAATTCTCGAAGAAGATAACAGATTAAACTCAGTCTGAATCTACAGTTTAAAACGTTTTCCTTATCATTTCTTTATTTTCATCGTATCTTCTTCTTCCGTCACAGTATCACCTGACCATGTTCTCTTCAGCTTACCAACATGTGTGATCTGTAAGAATAAGCTTGGGGCAGATTCTGATGCCAAGTAAGAAACAAGTCATACGAGTAATATGCTGGACATTGCCCATTGATGTATGTTTAATGTACATGACTTTTTGGAGGTGAATGAACTTCCGTCTTAGATGAACGTCATCAGAATTTTATCAACGAGCAGAAGAAACATTCCCGGATTTGAGGTTATAGCAGCGGTGATTTCCTTCTTATTTTACCTTCGACCCTGGAAACAATTTCTTAATAATTAAATTGACCGTTTTTTTCGGCCGGAAGAATGAAAAAAATATCTGATACTAGACTGATTGCAACCTTCAACATGGATCACGCTGCGGCCAATATAACACTGTCGCCACAAGACTACACCGATATCCGTTCATCTCTTCATGAGCTCAGCACTGCGCTGTTTCTAAGCAAAGTACGCGAAACCCATCCGTCGGTAACCCATGTGTCATCTGCACAACTGCTGAGGGATTCATTTTGCAGTGGGGTATACGCAAATGTCTGAATTTCAAATTTCAAGTCTGTTTGTAGGTCAAATATAATTCCTTTTTAAGGGAACCTGAAATTTGATTTTATTTATTTTCTCAAAAACTGTTCATACAAAGGTAACATAAGCCTTCACGTCATAAAATACGGATATCAATAAGGCCTGCATTTTATTGTTATTATGATTAATCTCAATTTAATTTAAAAAGTAAAAGGAAAAAAACAAAGCTATCCCTTGTACCAGGCCGTGAAGGCCCATAGGGTTGTGAGACGTTGAGGGTCCCACACTATCTAGACAATCGGCTCAAAGATGGCGGTAAGGTTGTCAGCCTTACGCGCCGGCCGCGCTTTACTCTCCAGGAAAATTATTTAATTAATTGCTGGTACTCATTTCTGTTAGAGGCTGAAGAACAAATAGTTCCAGAATCTGGTCAAAGTGTGATTCTTCTTCTTCTTCTTCTATTCGTGTTGCTCCCACTTGGAGCATAGTCATCCGTAACACGCTTCTTTTCACTTCAGTTTCTTATTTATGACAGTCGGTAGGACTCCTTGGACGGGGGATCAACCAGTTGCATGACCGCTTATCTTTTTTTTTCAATGGCTTTTCCAGCCAATTCAGGGCCCTGGCCTCTTACTCAGTTCCGCAGTCATTTTGCACAGACAGTAGGAGTCCTTGGACGCGTGATGAGCTCGTCGCAAGGCCTCTACCCAAACATAGTACAACATAAACACAGAATGAACGCATACACACCAAATATCCATGCCTTAAGATGGATTCGAAACCACGATCCCAGAGTCGGAGCGAGCGAAGACAGTACATGCCCTAGACCGCGCGGTTACCGTGACCGGCAGTCGCAAGGCCGCTACCTAACGCAAACACAGAATAAATACAGACATCCATTCCTTGATTGGGATTCGAACCCACGATACCAGTGTTCGAGCGGGTGAAGACCTTTCATGCCTTAGACCGCGCGGCCACTGTGATAAGCACTGTGAGATTAGCTTTGAAATAACATATACAAGTTGTAGCACTACTACGCTTTATCGTTTGCATAATTAAATTACATCTAGCGTGTGGATGATTGTCAGCAATTCATCCTTTGAAATGCTGAAGGAAAGAACTCTGGTCTGTGTGAAGCTGCCTTCCCAGAAGAGACTTCAGTTAGAATACAGGGCCACTGAACCGAGAATCAAACCCGAAAACTCCAGAACAGGAAGCAGAAATGTCACCACACAGTCGGGAAGTTCAATTAAAAAAAGTGATTTCCATTTTACAGTGAAGAATGAGTATATGATTTAGTTAATTACATCAATTTCCTTATCCATGCGTAGAAATATTCGAGGAGAAACGTAGAGTCCGATTAAATGCACATGAAGACGCGTCTAAGGAGTGCAACCTGCCGTGTAATTACTTATGTTTATGTAGAAGTGCTCGTTTAGGTAAGCGCTAATCTAATTTCCTACGCACTTATTTTAATATTAAATATTTCTCAGATTTGTTTATTAATATTGGGAGAGACAAACATATGCTACTAACTGCTCAAGTAATCACTATTATATGGAATGAAGCCAAACTCATATTTTTATTAGTTCTTGCACAAGGGCAAAGTGCAAAATGGGGATGTAGGGTCCATCCCTGGGTTTGTACCTCCATATGTTACCATATTTGAAATTAATAAACGGATTCGAGGAACATGGTACTACAGGTCTGCACCAAAGTACTTGACGATGGTTGAATTTTGGTTTGCATCATGAAAATATAACGCCCACGTTACATGAGGCTAAACCCTGATATTTTCGATATTCTCAAGTTGGTCATCGTAAAATAAATTGTTGCAATATATAAAATTCAACCAGACCTCAGTATTATAGATAGCAATTGACCGAGCCTCATAGCTTCATAAAACTAGTTGTGAACATAATTCAATTTCATATCCCTGAATCTTGCTACTTTTTAACTTCGCATCATCAAATAATACGGAAGTGACAAATGATCGAATTTCTGAGGTGATAAGAGCAGTAAATTATTCGCTGTATGGTCCTCACGTAGTTTATGATGGTCGAATATTGTGTAACTTTTATTAGCCCAAGATTTTTTTAAAAGTATTTGAAATGACACATTGGCGACCTCCTGGAACATTCTGAAGTGGCAATGACTGATGTAACGTTGTAATATATTGTCACGTGTTGGGTATGTCACGCGGCAAATAACTTCACGTGGGTCTCGGATTTAGCGAATCTTTATCGGACACTCACACCTACACACCTTACAATTGTTACCACCTACAGTATCACCTGACTTCTGGCCCAATACTCTAATACTCAATTCTCCATATTCAATTTCCGCTCGAGGCGCACGCGGACTCAATAGAGGACACCCTTTGCAAAGGTTCGATCTCACGTGTTCGGCAATCCATTGCTTCGGGAACGTTCCTTATACATTACGCCGGTAACGTGTCTCGTCTCCGTTGTTACTCAACCACAATTCGTTGCTACTATTTGTCGCTGCGGGAACTCCCCAATTTCCACGTATTCGTTGTCGTGGAAGCGTCCGTTCCGATTGTAGCGGTTGTCGCATTGATGGACGTAAGGTAACGCGTCACAATATCGTCTGAAACTTAGATTGTGCCATTTTACAGACACTTCTACAGCGACCTTGGTTTTTGCACTTGTTAATCTTTGTGGCATGAATCATATTCTAAGGTGGCCATCTTATTGCAGGAATCCGAGTGTGTCCGAAGACGGCACATGGACAGCCACCTATTGGCCTGTTCACACTGCTTACGGCAGGGAGTATTTGACCCTGGACGTGAATTCCACAAAAACCGGAAGGGGTCCTCGCCTCAAAGAGTGTGCCTTCTGGAAGAAGTACCTACCTCAACTCATGCTTATCACGTGTAAGTTATGCATGTATCGTAACTAAGATAATAGCCTTGTGTGTTTCATTACATTTCAAGTCTGTAGTCTACAAAGCGTATAATTTTATTTCATGAAATTATTGACTTAATATGTTCTTGTTCCGCTTAGGCTTACAACTGCTTGCAGCTAAGGCAAAAACACCCGTAAACACCTCTCTGTTCCTTATGAACCGAAATACACTGTAATATTTCAAATTTGGTATTTACTGACGCTGTCATCGAGGTTACATGGCGCCAAAGTCGATCACGGTGACCGCGCAGTTTGAGGCATCAACTGTTTTCGCCCGCTAGAAAACCGGGATTGTGGGTTTGAATCCAGCTCGAAGCATGGATGTCTGTGTGCGTTTATTCTGTGTTTATGTTGTTCTGTACGTAGGTAGCTGCCTTACGACGGGCTGATCCCCGGTCCAAGGAGTCCTACCAACTGTGTATAGATTAAGGAACTGAAAAAGCGGCCCACGTTCAAAGGTCTGTAGAGCCATAGAGAGAAAAAAAGACATGGCACCGTTGACAAGATGATTAATGAATGGGGAGCAGCTGATGGAATTAGAATTGGCAAGGGAAGTCGAATTACTCAAGCGAAAGCCCGCCCCAGTACAAATTTGTCCACCACAAATCGTACGTACTGACTTGGAAAAGAACCTGAGTCGTCACGACTAACCGCCTCAGTTATGATACAGCCCTATTCTATGTTATGTTCTAAAAGTATGCTTTTGGCAGCATGCATTCATTGTTGTTACTGACTGTGATGAAGACATATAATAATTTCTTCAAGACTGAATGGAGGCATAAAGAGAACGCATTCTTCTACTGTCTTCTTCTATAGCGGATGAGGCAGTATTTGGATGAGGTAGATTCACTAGATGGTGGACCAACAGTTCGTAATATCCCTTCTAGAATAAAGCAAAATATCCGAATATCCATGCCCAGGAAAAGTTCAAACCTGTTGCCCCGAGACATGGCATAGCATCCTACTGAGCTCTCTCTTACACCATTCCTTACTTTGAGTGCAAAGCGTCTAGATACACGTAGCTTTCGTGTTCTGCTCTTCAGAAAAATAGTAAGAGGGATATTCAAATACATGCTGCCAACATAATAACAATGCGGAATTTCCAGCAATGTATTCCTTCACGCACTTTTCAAGAAACACACATTACATAATTCAATATCTTTTTTTTTTTTAATTCCCTTAGTCGGGGGTGAAGTCCAGCTGGGCCCACTCGGCACGGCAGCCACTGATTGGCCTATTGTAGCCTCCTCGGGTGATTATTATGATGGAGAATTCGGTGGAAAGAAAATTGGTAGGGGAAACCGAAGTACTCGGAGAAAATCTACCCCAGCGCCTCTTTGTCCACCACAAATCCCACTTGACCAGACCCCGGTTTTGAACCCGGGCCGTCTCGATGGGAAGCCAACGACTAACCGCTTGAGCAATGGCACGGTCTTCGCACAATCAGTTAGAACTAGGATTCAAACATAGGCCTACCTGAGTACTGCTTTGCTTCTAAGTTGGAGTTTGTCCACTTTCCTTGTCTGATATAAATGTATTTATGAAATCCCTTTTCGGCTATTGTTCAATAACGACGCATAACGAGTGTAAAGTTGAACAATAGCAAGACGTAGCTCTCCTGCTTCAGTTTAAGCAGTTTAGGATGTATAATTCAGCTTCATCGTGCAGCATCGCCAAATAGCGCTGATTGTATTGTTTGGCCGCCAGGCAAAAGGAATGTGAAACACTTTACTGCTCAATCGCAGATATTAAATCATCTCTTGGAATGAGATCGGTCAGTTGATTCGTATAAGTCGATCTATCTTCACGGTTTATTCGTGACCTTCCAACGAATTATACAAATGAAACTGCATCTAAAAACGCAAATGAAATTAACTGAACCCCGAATTTTGGTAGTGAAATTGATTTATGTACATACGCTATGCTGCAGATATCTCGGATATTTTTAGATCAAACGAATGATTCAGATGACACATTAATTGGGTTTATGTATTTCACATAATTGGTAACACTATCGGGCCAGTAGTAAACGAATGGAACCAATTTATCGACCCATCCATCGAACTGCACTGCATTCGCCGTGCTTACTCACTTCTTGACGGTCTTGACATCGTTTATAACCGGGCGGTTTGTTGTTGAGGGAACAGGATTATGAAACTTTGAGAGCCATATTTGACTCTGGTGGTGCACAGCTGAACTAAATCTATTAGCTTTAATTTGATGAAGACTACGGGTTGTGCAGCACATCGTCTAAGGGGAGTGGGGCGCCGGAGAGTTCAGCGAGAAGTCGCTGCTTTGAGTTTACCTCATGACGCAGTAACTGAAGGGACGGCCGGTATCCTCTGGGACTAGCGACTATACAAAAAGCCGGTCCGTGAGATGGACTGCTACGAGGGTGGAACTCCAGTTTCCGGACGGAGGTATGTTACATTAGGCTAGGAACACACAGCGACATCGGTCGTACGGAAAGAAATATCGTAGGATTTTTTACCATACGACCTCCTTTTCACACTAGACAGACCAAATACATTTCTTTGCTCTCCGACTGCCGTACGGTAGATGTCGCATGTCGTCACGTATGAAAGCTAAGGGTTGGAATACACACAGCGACATCGGTCGTACGACGTCCGTACGGTTCATGTCACATCAAGTAGTAGAATATAAAGTGTAGTCTTAACTTTCATACATGACGACATGCGACATGTACCGTACCACAGTCGGAAAGCAAAGAAATGCATTTGGTCGCTCTAGTGTGAAAAGGAGGTCGTACGGCATTTTTCCGTACGACCGATGTCGCTGTGTGTGTTGCAGCACTAAGACTACAATTTATATTCTACTACTTGATGCGACATGAATCGTACGGACGTCATACGACCGATATAGCTGTGTGTGTTCCTAGCCTTAGACTGCGTTGGAGGAAACTTCTCGCAAAGAAGAACAGACCACTTGCCTGGAACGATCAGCTGCACACTGTTCAGTCAAAACTGGTATTTCTGGATAGTCTAATAGTGCTTGATCACTGCACCTAAATACATGCTGCTTAAGTTCGAGGCATTACTTCTTTGAAGAAAGCAGTCTTCTGGGAATTGGCACCGTGTATATGTGGTGTTAACCGACGTTTCGGAGGAACGTATCGCCTCCATCTTCAGGGTAGAAGAAAAAATATAAGAATTCTGCAAGCGNAATTCAGAGTTCGTGTATCGTTTATAGATTTATAAGATATAATTGAAAGTATAATTTGTCTGCCTCTATAAATCAGACTGATTTCAGACGTCGATCACTCTTTGATATTCTGCTCTCTTTAAGTTTTTTCTTGGCATTACAGCCCCAGTGGGCCTAGGCCTACCTCCATGAACTTCCCCGTTCACTTCGGTTTTTCTAGATCTTACACATTTGGTAGGACTCCTTGGGCGGGTGATCAGCTCGTCGCAACGCCTCTACCTGTACACAAACTAAACATCCATGTCCTGAGTGGGATTCGAACCCACGATCCCGCTTTCCAAGCGAACGAAAACTGTGATGGCGATGTTTATCTACCGTAAAATCTGTGCCTAATTAAGTTTTTTTCTGAAACTGAATTTCTTTAAATAATATATAAAAATTCAGTTCGTACATTAGGCGAAACTTATTACATCTCCACTACAAAACCGGCGGTTGATGCTGTTAGGTAAATAATAGTTGTTTATTGTGAGAACCATAGTAAACACACAATTACCCTCCTCGGGTGGAATGCAGAATTTTAGTATGTTAAATTGTGTGGTACATAGAGTAACCATTGGAATTTAGAGAGTTAAGTATTTTATAGAGTAATTGTAACTCATGTTATAAGACTGAATTTCTCTTATATTCCTATTTCCAGTTATTGGTTGCCTAATAGTATTGTGACTGAAATTGTTATGTTTACGAACGAATTTATTGACGAAATACTCCACTTACGAATATTGAACGAAACAAAATGTAACTGCTTTGTCGCCGGTATATTTTGCTTTATGATCGTGTTTCAAAGTAACCGGTTCTCCGTCTTGCTGGCCTGTTTTCGGTTTAGATATAATTGAGATGCACCATGGTTATAAGTATGGAAGGTTCTTCCTGAAATTTGCATTTTTCAGTGTTATGCAAATATGAATGTTTTCCGGTGATGTGAATATTTGGAACACAATTTTGGCAGTACGTTATTACAGTTCTGGAACATTGGACTATGCATCTACCAGGAGACTTCGTTGGCATGATGTATGTAAATATTACAATAATTTGTAGTAATTAAAGGAGAAACATTTATCTGGTTGATATCACACGCGTTGCTAAAAAATGACCTTTAAATTTTTGTTTTCTCTTTTTCCTATTTTGCCTTAAGTCCAAACGCCGGCGCTCTAAATCTTTTGTACGTATTTTTTCTTCGGCACTCAGATCTTTGTGAGGATGTAATCGATACAGATGCAGAGTCTTTTGGGTGTTCTAAGTGATACTACACTAATATATTACATACTTAGTGATTTTTTCAACCTCTTACGAGTACTTGAAATATTTCAGAATATTCACCAGAAAACCATATATGAAATTATTGGCCCTTGCCAGTAATATTAAAGGGATTTCACGGGAAACAGTCGCATGACTTTTGCAAATTTTACTTAAACGTGCATATTTTTAGTACTTTCGAATAGCATAATTATATATTTACCGTTACTGTAACCTCGTTTCATTCAGAAGAGAAAGTATTAGTTTTTTTAATTGCTAGTGGGGTGAGACTAAGTCCCTTGTACTGCGGCCACTTCTGGCCTATTGTACCAGCCCAAGATGATAGGTGAGGGTGATTGTGGAGCAATTGGTCGAATGAATATTGGCAGGGGAAACCGAAGCACTCGGAGAAAACCTGCCCCAGCGCCACTTTGTTCAACACAAATCCAACTTGACCAGACCTCGGGATCGAATCCGCGCCGCCGCGGTTGGAGACCAGCGACTAACCGCTTGA